ACGAGCCCCGCGGTGGGGCCGCGCGGGTGGGGACAGGCGGGACCGGTGACGGCGGGGGGGGTTCCGGCCATAACTGCCAGACCTGATCCTCGGTCGTTAGATCCAGCGAGCGTCGAACGGGGGTTCCGTGTGAGGAGGATGAGCCTCTGCCCGGTCCCTGCCGCGCCGGCGGGACAGGTACCGGGAAGCGTCTGGTCCGTGCGGCCTGTCCGGTCACGGGCCGTTTTCAGAGCTGCAGCGGGAGGCTGCATGGGGTGAGCTGCAGTTCTCTACCCAGGCACCTGTTTCTCTGAAAATACTTAAAAAATCTCTTGCCCTGAAAGTTCAGACTCACACTTTCCAGCAGCAGTGGCCGTTTACAAAGTCATATGTTTTATCACAGCCCCGTCTTCCGAGCTGGCTGTTTGAAAGGATGATTTTCCTTCCATCTCAGGGGGTTACACTATGAAATAATTATGCGTTGTTCTTTTTTTTTACACAGGTGTAAAACTTCTGTTACACGGTCTTTGCTCTAATACCACAGTCAAATCTTTGGATCTGAAGGTGAGTCTGTTTGAATAAAATTAAGATAGAGAGGTGGGGAAGGAAATAGGAGCACAAGCTTAATCAGAAGTAGGCAGTCCTGGTGCAGGATTGTTCTAGTAGATGTGCGCTGCTGTAAAGTTCTTGTTCTCAGGTGTCTCAGTCCTTGCCTCCTAACGCAATGTCACGGCTTTCCAAAGTTACTTTGCAGCTCACCTTTGTCTGGTTATATTCAGTTACTCTGTTCTGATAGGGAGTTACTGCTGTGTATCTTTTGTCAGCTGCTGCTTGGTCAGATGAGGCATTCGAAAGGTTTCTCTGGGTTTCTGTACTAGTCAGTTATTAAGATGTTTGACTTGTGCTTCTGTAGAGTTAGTCCAGCTTGCCCCTGTGTTTCTGCTAGCCTGGGGCTCAGAACTAAGCATCCACTTCCAGATGTGATGATCGCTCTGCTGTGAGCGTGACTTTGTGTTCCTCTGGCGTGCAGCTGTGCCCTTGAATCTGCAGTCTTAAACTGCACCACACCCTTCTTCTGCGCTGGTGCTAGCTAAGCCCTTTTTGACAAGGTGTGTTGAAACGGTTCCGCTTATCTAGAATCAGCATTTTCCATCTCATCGTGGGCCGTGCTGATCCTGTGATTGTGGTGAGATCTCGGCCACAGTGCCTCACGAGACCATGTACCCACTGTTCCTCTGGGGTCTTTCCTTTTCTGGAAAGCTGACCTGTGTGTGAAACAGATGTTACTCAGCCCATCCTGACAGACTGAAATCAGCATTACAGTGGGGCTGCACCCGGTGGGGCTGGGTGGGATGGCTGCGTGGGGACAGGGCCCAGCCTACTGATCACCTGGGACTTTTGTTTCAGGGAAATAACCTGCGAACCCTGGGAGCTGAGGCTTTGGGAAAACTTCTTGGGCAGAACAAATCCATCAGGAGGTAAAAAACTGTATCTACCCCTCTTTCTGTTATTGCTGCCAGGTCGAGCACAACATTAGAAAAGTGTTGAGGTGTTTTTCCTTGGGGTAGGGGGAATGTCAAATGGTGCCCTTTCTTGTGAGGGATGGGACAGGTGAAGGAGTGAGAACTGGAGGTGCCCTTTTGGAGGATGCAGGGCCCTAGCAGTGTCCTGCTCTTGGAAACTGAGTCTGTTAGGGGAGCTGGGTGTTGCAACTCTGTTAACTCCATGAACTCCAATCCTGTCTGATTTTCCCTAGCCTAATCCTGGAATGGAACAGCCTTGGTGCGTGGGAGGAGGGCTTCTCCTTTTTCTGCCAAGGACTGGGAGCCAACAACTCTCTCCAGCAGCTAGATCTGCGCAATAACCAGATCAGCCATCAGGGAGCTGGAGAGCTTGCCATGGCACTGAAACAAAATGCCAGCCTTCAGGAGCTGGGTAAGGTGGCTAGCTCTTTGCCCACCTACACATGCACACACGCACACATGTTTCTTCAGGTTCGTTGCAGCCTGCCTTCATCTCTGCCATCTGGTCAGTGTTGTTTCCAGTCCCTGTCAGTCTGGAGTGCTCGGTGCCGGGAGCAGGGGCAGCCCCGTGGCCTTTGGAGCACGGGAGCAGTAACTCCAATCTCAAACCAAACCTGCAGATGAAGGTTGTGTGCTTGGAGCAGAACAGTTCTTAGTGGAGGAGGGAATGGGTTTGTTCCCATTTGTTGGCATGCCTCGTGCCAGACTCTGAGACTTCCTTCACGCTTACTTTGTCCTTAGAAAGGAATTTTGTCAGAATTTCCTTTAGGAAAGTGTGGTTCTTGGTGCTGGTTCTTTCTCATCCACAGGTGGTGGTTGTGGGAGGAAGGTTCATGAGCTGAAAATGCAAGGGGCAGACTCATGTGCCTTTTGAACACAGGTGCCTTCCTGCACATTACTACACTTAAGATTCATCCTTGCCTTTCCTGCTTTGTCTGTCATTCTCCCTCCCTCTCATTCATCTTGAAAAGGGAAGCAGTATTCCCCCGTGTTTGTGCTGAGACCATCTGGGATTAGTTAGCCCTGATGTAGATGTATACGGAGCATGGTTTCTCCCGGGTCCTGTGTTTTTCAGCAGAGTTGTGACCACCAGGGTGAAAGTTTTCTTTCTGTACAGATTTACGTTGGAATAACGTTGGGCTTCTGGGTGGCCGAGCTCTGCTGAACTGCCTGCACAGCAACAAGACCCTGAAGAGGCTGGAGCTGGCTGGGAACAACGTTCCCAGTGACATCCTGAAAGCTGTGGGTAAGCATTATTCGTTGCACAGGAAGGAATTGGTAACTCCATTCCCATTTCAGCGCTTGAGGGATACAGGGCACTGTCTGCTCCAGAAGAGAGCTGTCCCTCCTCCCCTCTTGCCCCTTAATGAGGGCGGGTCAGGTTGGAAATGTCACTTTTACCAGCAAGAGGAAAAGAAGAATTTGGATTGAATTAGAGGTGACTGTGCTGTGTGAATGTGGGAGAACTTGGAGCTCTAGCTTGTCTCTAGTAGCCAAGTTTGGGTATGGCTCTGTGGTTGTCCCACCCCCAGCGGGGTGGTTGCTCTCCTCTGGCCGAGCATTGGTTGCCCAGTGGACGCTGGTATGGTGAGAGCGGCCTGTCTGCCTGGCCAGCCTGGGAAGGGCCTCTGTCCTGCTTCTGATGGCCAGGTGGCATCCTGAGCGCTCTCTCTTCCAGCAGTGCTTGCTGTTGTGTTACTTTAGAAACGCATGCATGCTCTCCTGCTCTCTCTGCATCAGAACAAGCTGTGGATCACAACCAGGACCGCCAGGCTATCCTGAGCGAGACCCAGAACCGAACGTACATACTCAGCAAGGAGGTTTTGAGTCTGAAGGATGAGAAGACCAAGCAGGTCAGCAGTCTGGCGTGTGGGCAGTTTTCCCTCATGTCCCTGTGAAACACTCAGTGACAGGATTATTGTGCACCTGAAGTCACCTGTGCATCGTTCTGGGCGGGCACACAGTGTGGTTTTGAGCAAATTGGGTCCTTCCCAGGCAGGCTGCCCAGGAACCAAATCCATGACAGCCTGGGTATGGACACATGCCCTGCTGAATGTATTCAGTCTGGATTCTGGAGGAGTTTTGGTGAATTTTTTTCACCCATATTTCTGCTTTTGGTTCTTTTTTTGCAACTGGTTTGACATTTTCCAAGTGGTGAAAGCTAGAAATACGAGTCTGTTTTCTTCCTGACACCAAATGGTGAGTCCCTACAGCTGACAGTCCTAATGAACCTGCCCAACCTCCAGTTGTCTTGCTTTCAGCAGTGGCTTGGTCTGAGTTCAGCTGTCTCTAGAAAGAGAAAGATGAGAAATGTCAGTGCTTTGAGCTGATGCAGTTCGTTTTCTCACTGATGTTTGCCTTGTTTACAGTTCTTGGATTTGATGGACACTGTAGACAAGCAGAGAGAAGAAATAGCCAGGAGCAGCAGGTGAGTTGAATTTTTGAGTGCTTTCTGCTCTTTGCTAGCAGAATTTGGCCCTCTGTTTTCTGGCAGAAATTACAGCCTTTTTTTTTTTTTTCCCACCCCCACATGCAGGATGTCTGCAGCACGAGTCAGCCAGCTGCAGGAAGCTTTGGATGAGCAGCACTCTATCATGAATTCGCTGAAAGCCAAGTACGGAGGAGGGAAGCCATAGCCTTGCTGCTGTCATGCTGTGTAGGCAGTGCTGAGCAGAGCTCTTGAGAAGGGGGATAATCTTGCAGAGTGGCTGGATTACTATTTCGCTTAGTTCTGCAGTAATATCCCGAAATTACAGTCAGATCAGGCCTTTGGGTTTGCCATGCTCAATATTTAGCCTGCTTCTAAGTAAAATTACAGTGCATTGGTGTAAGAGCAAATGAATTACAGAGGGCGAAAAGGAAAAAAAAAAAAAAGGATTGTGGGGATGGGATGGGGGCATCTTCTTTGCCCAGTTTACAGCCTGGGCAGAGGCTGTTCCTGCTTGCCTTGGCGGTTGGCCGTGTCCTCAGAGCCGCTGGCGATGGGGAGGAGCCCAAGCAGCAGGTCCTGTGCTTGGGGACAGCCAGGGGAGGGGAGGGGGCGTGCCCCAGGGGAGGGAGGATCTGGCTCGCTGGGTTCTGTCAGGTGAAGGTGGTGTCATTGTGCTGTACCTCAGCCTGAACGTGTCCCTCGTGTACGCAGTAAGCAGACTGCTTCTGCTACCTGTGTTTAAAACTCTGTCCTTGGTTTTAAACAACCTTGCAGTGGTATAAAAGAGCCAGCTTTGCTCTCCTGTGAGAGTGGGCAAATCCTGGAGGGGTCCAGGCTGGGAAAACCGCTCATGGAAAACAACACAGGGAAAGCACAGTGGGGTACCAGAACACCAGGCTCTGAGAAGTCCCAGGCACCCACTGTCTGCAGAGGCTGTTGGGTGTCCTTTTCCCAGGGGCAAAAAATGCTGCATTTAGGTAGCCCGATGTCATCTGTGGCCAAATACGTGTTAACATCTTGCACCACGTGGCACGGAGAGCTCACTGGAGGTGTCTTCCTTAGAAAGAACTCTGGAAAGTGTTTCTCTGTGTAGGCTGCAGATGACTGAAGCTGCTCTGGCTCTGTCTGAGCAGAAGGTTCATAATCTGGGAGAGCTACTGAAAGCCACAAAACAGGAACAAACCAGCATGGCTGAACAGCACTTTATGGAGCTCCAGCAGCAAAGGCAGGTGAGCTGGATAAGTCCTAGTTAGGTTTGAGAGCAGGATTCCAGGTCATTCCTGGTTTGTGTAGATTTGGGGGATGCTGGATGGGATAGGCAAGCATAATTTTTAGTGGGTTAACAAAAATTCTTGTGTAAATTAGGTGAGTGCTAAATGTGGAGAGGAGCTGTGTTTGTGGGGTGTGTTGGATTCAGTTGGGTGTGATCTTGGTTGGAGGTGCAAGATCTAAGGTAAGTTCAGGTTCTTCAGTTCGGTTTTGTTTGCAGGAAGGTGCTGATCGGGAAGGCAAGCTTTTGTGTGACCTGTCTGCTGCCAGTGAGAAAAATCTGCTGCTAAGAAACCAGGTAGGAAAGCTTAAGTCCAAGGTGGAGAAGCAGGACTTGGACACTGTTTACTTCTGCTCTGTATGTGTGTCCTCTCCTTTGATCCTTGTTTTTGTGTCTGCTCAGTGTTCTGTACAGCCAACTTTCTCTGCTAATAGGAAAAGAAAACCCTTTGTGGTGGTAATTTCCTTCTAGGTGGATGAGTTGGAGAAGAAGTGCAAAGTTCAGCAGGATCAGCTATTCCAGGTAAAACAAGACTTGACCAACACAACAGCAGAGCTGAAGCTGCGGGCTGTGCAGGCGGAGGGTGAGTGGAGCAGCAGAGACAGCTCAGGGATGCTGGGGGCAGGGGTTACTGTCCGCGAGTCAGGAGTGCACGGCAGCCAAGGGGTGGAAGAGTTTGTGATAGAGTGTAAACACAGTCTGCATAGCAGGGGTGCTGGAATTGGGGTATGCCTGCTTTTAACCTCCAGAACGCCTGGAAATGGAGAAGAGAAGATTTAAACAAAGCCTTGACGACATGGAATCCCTTCGGGTAAAAGAGGTGAGAACGGGGTTTCTGCAGCATCCTGCAGTTAGTCTCTCTCTGGTCCTGATCTACAGATGTCACTGGGAGTCAGTGTTTGCTGACAGCTGCTCTTAAACAAGTTTAAAAATTAGTGGACTCAGACTTATTGTGGGAATAATAGGCCATTTCTACCAGCAAAGCCTGACTGAAGAGATCACAAGAGATTCCACCAGCCAGTGAGGTTTTGTAGCTTGCAAGAGCATGGGTCAGGGCAGTCCATGATTGTGCAGAAGAGGCTGGGAGCTGGCCCTGTGTCAGTCGTGCTGTGCGTGGAGGTAATGGTGATTGAGCAGTCTCGTTGTGATTGCTGAAATAAAGATGCAGAAATGGAGGAGACCAAGGTATATGTGCTATATACAACCAGTCCTTTAACGGGGTTCGGCTTTCTAGTTCCTGCTCTTGTTTCAGGGGGATTCTTTGAGCCTGGATGGGACAAGAGGCTGTGATCAGCTCTCTTTGGAGTGTTTACTGAGGTGTGAAATCTCTCAAAAATAAAATTATACCAGTAGATTTCTCTGAAGATTTTAAAATCTTGTAAGAGAAGACATAGGCCAGGAAGATTTTGGCCACATGACAACTAGAAAATGAATCTCTGGTATTTCATACCACTTGAAGATGAGAGCTTGGACTCTGCATCTTTCACCTTGGTCTGGAAGGGATCTCTGTCTAAAGTTCCCAGTTTCTAGAGGGCAGATTCTATCTCCATTACAGTTTCCTAATGGAGCTGAGGGAGGTAGGAGTCTTTCTCTGGTGGCAGGTGGGTCAGTGAGGATGCTCGCTCTTGTGCTGCTGGGGACAGGAGTGGCTCCCAGGACTTGCTGAAACGGTTTCTGCTGCTCTGCAGGTGGATCATATGACCCAGCACATGGAGGCCAGTGAACGTTCCATGCAGGACAGGATCCAGCGGCTGGAGGCCATGCGGGCAGCTCTGGAGGAGGTGAGGGTGGAGGCTCAGAGCCTGGTGGCAGGAGACGGTGGCCAGGGGAGCTCCACGGAGTCCACTGCTGGCCTGTGTAACGGTTGTCAGGTGCTGTAGGGAGGAACAGAAAACAGCAGTGTACCAGCCAAAGTTGTTTTTACTGCTTTGGACTAAGGAAGGAGAAAGTTCCAAGGGGAAACCTGTAGATTCTGGCTGGATAAAAGTAAAGGTTCATTGAACATGGTTAGATTCTTCCCAGGATTTGACTCCACAGGTTTCCCATGTGGTCCCAAGTAGTGCGGCGTATTTCTGCTTACCTGCTCCCCCAGCTAGATCCAGTGCTGCCCTCCTATTCCCCTGTCTTTAGGAAGCTTCACCCATTCCTTGCCCTCATAACTGAAATTCTCACTGAATTTAGATGGTGATCTCTGGGTGAGAGAAGATATGTAATCTGGGTTTGTTCTCCCTGCCCCTGAGTGAGGCACAGCTGTGTCACGTTGTAGCCTGCGACTGGAAGCTGCTCATGTTCTCTGGTCAGCGTTGCAGCGATGCAGCTTCTCTGTCTGGAACAATCCTTTGTGTTTCTGTGGCAGGAGCTGAGCCAAGTCAAAGCAGCTGCACTCAGTGAGCGAGGCCAGGCAGAGGAGGAGTTAATAAAAGTCCGGAATCAGGCGCGGTTGGAGGAGGTAAGCACAAGGCCTGTCTGTGGGCTCTGCCTCTGGGAAGGACTGGGTTTGGCTGCCTGGCCTGTGTCTCAGGGACTGCTGAGTAACTCCCCACTCTGGGTTTCACTGGCTTGCAAATAGTCTTGAGGAAGGAGTCCTGAAAGTCTGCTTTGAATTGTCTCCAGAATGTAACCACTATCCCCACCTGCTCTGTGCTTTCCAGTAGTAACACGACTGATCTGGATGTTGTCATAGCAGATTTCTGCTGACTTCTGCCGCTAACAGCCAGATGTGGATCCTTCTGTTTTACAGCAGCTTTCCTGGGCTGCTCATGTTTCTCTGGACTCAGAGGAATTTCTGCAGGTGGCCACTGCTACTGGATAAAAAAAGTCACTGTAGAGTTGAACTTTGTGAAAACGGCAATGAAGTCAACACCCTGTGAAAGAGAGCAAGGGATGAGGAAAATACACCAAACCTTGGAATGTTTACGTACACAAAAGAAAATGCATTACTGAGTCACAGACATCTGAAAGCCACCATGTGTGTTTGTGGTGGGACATGGCGGTTGCTAGGCTGTGTGCAGCGGTGTTCCACACCCGTTTGGGATACGGAGCATGAGCTGTAAATGCTGGTGGTGGCATTGGTGCTTGTACCAGGGACTTGTCTCTCTCAGCAAGTGAGCTGGGAGTTGCAGTGTCTCCACCAGAATGTTTTCCCTGGCAACAGAAAGCAGCTGAAATTCACTCCCGAGTGCAGGGGAAAAGTGCCCTGTCTGCTACAGCAAGTCCTGTGCTTGTTCATGAGCACCCCTTGGCTCAACCAAGGGTTCACTGTGTTGGGGAAAAAAAAGGGAGAATCCCTTTGCAGGGATGGAATGGGACTTATGTCTTTTTATTTTCCATTGTGTCTTACAGCATCAACGACTAGAACACCTAGAAGAGAAGCTGAGGCTGATGACTGAGTCACGGGATGAAGCTCAGAACTGCTGCTTTAAGCAAAAACAGATGGTTGCTGAGGTCCAGGCCAAAGCCAGTCAGTTGAGCCTGCAGGCTGATGGGCTCAGAAGGCGCCTGGAGGAGCTTCAGCAGGTGACTTGGGCTGGAGCAGAGCTACGGTCACCACAGGGGCAGAACAAGTTGCCGAGGTGGTTTGATTATTCATGGATTTGTCTTTGTGTGTCAGGACCTGAACAGTAAGGAAGAGGAGAAAGTGACAGAGGTGAATAAAGTGAAGGTGGAATTACAGGAGCAGATTGGACACCTGCAGGCTGAACGCACAGCACAGGATGGGCTGAGAGAGAAGATTGCAGCCCTGGAGAGACAGCTGAAAGGTGATGGATCCTTCCATGCTCCTCAGAGGGTAATGTGAGTTACCCCACAGCAGGCCTGGAACTGAGCTGCACTTACAGGTGGTGACGACGGCGCTTCCCGCCTGTGCGTACAACCGTGAGTTGTACCCTCTGTCTTGATGTATTTGCAGGGATTCTTGTCCTCATTTTAGAGAGACCAAGACTCTCATAGCTACCCAAAGCTGCACAGCAAGCAGAATGTTTGGATTTCCTGCACAGTGAAGTGTAGCATCTCATCTGTGCAAAACCTCTCAGGCTGCTCTAGCAGCTTCTCCTGTGTGCTTGTTGATGGTCCTGCTTCCCCTACCTTTGGCTGTGCCTATAACCTGGTGTTCCTGTTTATTCTAGGGACACCCTCATTGTCTTTATTAATGCTCCCCTTCTTTCACAGCCCTATCAAGTAATCACCGCGAGGCACTGCTGGACAAAGAAGGTGAAATCTCTATGCTGCTGGAGAAGCTGAGAGTGAAGGAGGCTGACATCTCTAGGATGAGGGAAGAAGAGGCCCAGCGGGCAAGTTTCTTGCAGAATGCCATCATGGCATATGTGCAGGGCTCCCCCTTGGGAAGCCACAGTTCTAGGAAATGAGAGCGTGGCTTGAAGAATACAGATACCTGCTGTCAGGAGAAGGGTGAGCAACTCAGGTTCAGCCCCTTCTTTCTAAGTGGGACAGCTCTCTCAGAGTGGGGTGATGTGAAGTGTTGCAAACAGAAAATTGCTCTTCAGAAATCTTGTTCACAGCTGCGTAAAGGAGGAAACAACCACCCAGGGCTGGGACGGAGGCTCGTGGGTCTGAGTTCATGATGCAGAGCCCTTCCCCTGCACTGCTGCAGCATTGGAAGTCGTTTCTGTGTGCCTTTCTGTGTCCCGGGTCTGGCGACACACTGTGCTGTTACCACGGGCTGTCTGTTCCCTGTCCTGGGGCGTTTGTTTGGATGCCGAGGCTGTTCACAGTGAAACTGCTGGAGGACGGGTAGCCCAGTTGTTCACAGGGTCCCAAAGCTGCTGGAAACACCAGGTCTTCCCTGTGCTTTTGCATCCAGTGCTTGCAGATGGTCTCACCTTGGCCCTCACCCTGCCCTTGGCGGCTCTGGCTGCAGCGAGGGGCACAGGGCAGGTTCCTTGTGTCTGGTCGGGGGTGCCGAAGGGGTGGCTGGGCAGCAGCTGTCTGCGTCCCCTGACAGCTCGGCTTTGCCCTGGCTCCAGCCTCTCCAACACGCACTGGCACGGCTCCCTCACTGTGAGCTGCAGCCCGCAGGTGCAGTTCCTGTGGCCCAAACGCAACAGGGTTCCATCGCGCTTTGACAAGTGGCAGAACTGTCCCGCTGGCTCCTCGGGCTCCTGGTGCCCAGAACTGTTTCCCGGGCCTTACCCCGGGGAGGAGTGATGCTTCCAAGTTACCGCTGCGGAGTGACTGGCCGGAGCACAAAGGGGAGAAGGTGATTCCTTTTCCTGGCGTGGGGAAGGGGAGGGCTGAGGGGCGAGTCTGTCATGGCTGCGGTGTGAGAGCCGCCCCTTGGGGAGCCTGGGGGGAGAGTGAACTTGGGGTGTTCTAAGAGGCACCTGGAAGAAGAAACTTTCTGTGTGGACTGGTTGGTTGGTTTGTGTGATTTTTTTTTTTGTATTTGGTTTTGTTCTTTTTTAATAAAGAGCTTTTGCATTTTGTCATAACACTGTCCACCTGGGTGTTTGACCGCTGCTGTGTTGCTCCCACGAAGATGCTGCCGGACTTTACCGGACGTAAAAGGCTGTTACAGGCGGACGAGCAGTGTGGCTGCGGGTGTTGGCTCAGAACTGCGGTGGAAGCCGGGACCCGGCTCCCAGAGAGAGGAGCGGGCCCAAGGGGCCGCAGGAGAGGGAGGAGCGGCGGGGTGTCCAAAGCCGCCCTTGTGCGGGAGTTTCGCTGCTGCGGCTTGTCCCTCGGCAGCGCGGGGTGACGGGTGTGTGCGGCCCC